GAGTGTCACTAGTGCGAAGGTGCGTAATGAGGTCAGCGACTGTGGGGAAGGTAGCGAGGTCAGGGAACAGGTACGGCAGTATGAGGCGGCTAAGAGCAGCAGTGGCAGGGGAAGAGTAGCGTGCAGCTACAGCGTCGTGCAAGGTCTTAGCACTCTTGTACTGACTAAAGTGCGCACGCTCAGCGGTCGGTAAGTGGCGACGCACAGCAAGACGGGCAGCAGCATCGCGTGTGGCCCACTGTAAGCGAACAGTGCTGTCAGCATCAGCAGGCGGGGCAGGAGAGGCACTAGACGTGAGATCGAAAAGGCAGAGACCGTCTGCCCTATCGCACTGTAGGAAAAGCTGTAAGTCATCGACCCAGACCTCAAAGTCAACAGCCCGACCCTCAGCATCAAAGGTAAGGACACTGGGGGTAGCCATGACAGCAGGAGTCTAGTGGTGAGAGCGGCAGACTAGAGGTAGTGCAGTGGCAGAGACGCTGCTCGGGAAAGCTCTCACCAGTCCGGGTGGGGAGGGCCGGGGCATGCCGGCAGGAACAGGACCGCAGCTGCATCAGCAGCGGCTCGGCGGCTCAGCAGCGGCTCGGCGGCGGCTCGGCGGCTGCTCGGCGGCGGCTCGGCGGCTCGGTGGCGGCTCGGCCGCTCGACAGCGGCTCGGCGGCTCGGCGGCGGCTCGGCGGCGGCTCGGCGGCTCCGCTGCAGCGACGGCGGTGGCAGGGCCGGGGAGGGGGCCGCACAGAGCGGCGAAGGGGCCACTGTAGGGCGGCGACAAGGCCGCGAGAGGGCGGCAGTGGGGCCGCTGAAGGGCGGCGTCGGGGCCGCTGACGGGCGGCAATGGGGCCGCTAGAGGGCGGCGACGGGGCCGCGGTAGGGCGGCGTTGGGGCCGCTAGAGGGCGGCGACGGGGCCGCTGTAGGGCGGCGACGGGGCCGCTGAAGGGTCGGCGACGGGGCCGCTGTAGGGCGGCGACGGGGCCGCTAGAGGGCGGCGATGGGGCCGCTGTAGGGCGGCGACGAGGCCGCGGGTGGGCGGCGACGGGGCCGCGAAAGGGTCGGCGACGAGGCCGCAAGAGGGCGGCCCTGGGGCCGCGAGAGGGCGGCGACGAGGCCGCAAGGGGTGGCGGCGGAGCCGCGAAGGGCGGCTACGGGGCCGCTAGGGGTGGCGACGGGGCCGCGAAGGGCGGCGTCGGGGCCACTGAGGGCGGCGACGGGGCCGCTAAGGGTGGCGACGAGGCCGCTAGGGCGGCGACGGGGCCGCAAGGGGCGGCGACGTGGCCGCGTAGGTGGGGCCGCGAGGGGCCGCTAAGGGCGGCGACGGGGCCGTGAGGGGCCGTGAGGGGGGCCACTAAGGGCGGCGCGACGGGCCGCTAAGGGGAGGGCGGCCCACAGGGCGCGCCTCGGTCAAGGGCGACTCGATCTCAGGGCAGGTAAAAAAAATTTACACGATTTTCAGTGGTGGGCCCTAGGAAGAGTTCCCACTAGGGAACCTGCTCTATACCATGTGAAGAAATGAGGAGTGAATGAACTAGGAAAGAGGTGGGTACAAGTAGGAAACCCTAAAAGTGTTGTACCCTATACTGTCTACCCCACTATAGCCTACACAGACTTTTGCGTATAAGTTCGACAGTGACTCGTTGTACGCGGTAGAGATAGTGGCGCGAAGCAAGGAAAATTTATTTCCTTACAGAGGGGCTCAAACTCAACAAGCAAAGGAAATGTGAAATGTTGCTGGGCAGGGAGGTAGCAGCCTTAGCAGGCTTGAGAGACCAGTATAAAGTGCTCTCTGGAGTTTTCCGAAAATTGCACTATGACTTCACAAATTTGACAGTACAATTTTATAGAGCACATTCACAAATCGAGTCGCACTCCCAAATCACGACACTCTGAATTTCTCATTGGTAACCCAACCCTTTGAAATGAACTTGCCGTGAAATTGTGAGAATTATTGCGGTACGGGATTGGACGGCGAGCTTGGTTACGGGGCTGTAATTTCGTCGGTGTTGTTGACGAAGTCGGCGAGCGGTCGAAACTTCGGTGTTCTGCGTTTCGTAATTTTCGTGGGTAGGTTTGACTTGGGCTGCTTGTCGGAACTTTGTCGCCCAACTGCAGGTTGAGGCGCTTGACCAATCTGGACCATAGGTGAGGTGGCGCTTGACTTCCGCCCACCTGCATTGCAGTTGGCAGCACCCGACTGCTGCACTGTTACATTACTTCCCTCTCCAAGTGGCGTCGTCCACAGCGACAAACCGTGGCTGGTCAAGTATCAATTCACAGCAATTGCAGCACGGTCAAGGTGGCTCTCAGGTTCCCACGAGTCTTCACTAGCCGGCTGATCTTTCCAACGAACAAGAAAGTCACAACCATGAGGTGTGTCGCGGTGAGCAGTGATAGATGCAACCTCAAATAGGCCAGGGCTGCCCTCAAACATCGGTGGCAGTTTGCGTGTGGCTGGACGGTCATGAGAAGGTGCACGGAAAGGGCGGAGGCGCTGGACATGGAAGACGGGGTGAATCGTCATATAGCTGGGTAGTTGGAGCCGGTAGTTGACTGGTGAGAGGACTAGGGTGATGGTGAACGGGCCAATGAAGCGAGGGGCAAGTTTTCTGGTTGTGCCTTTGCGTAGGAGAGGTAGGTGGTCAATGCAGATAAGCACTTGATCGCCAACCTTGAAGCGGATATCTGTGCGTTGGCTTGTGGTATACATTGGCATTGGCAGCACTGTTGCGGCTGTACAGTAGTCAAGGCAATTTCGCCTCAGCGAAGAGAAAAACAGAATTGCGAGTGTTGGCGAAAAACTGACGCGCTTCAGTTGTGAGAGAGCCAGGGTTTCGAAGGTTCAGAGTTCACACATCGGTGCTGTTCGCCAGGAAATCGTAATTTGAAATGAAAAAGATGGCATCGGCATCGCGACCGCATCTGGAAACGGAGGCGGAACCCACCTCCGAGGTTTGGCCGTAATGCCGTTCAAGAAACTTCTGCGCCTGCGGTTGCGAAATTTCGCAACCGCGTCGGGAACCTCTGTTCCCACCTTCCCCCCAATCCCCTTTGAACGGCAATGCGACGGCTGTGCCATCGCTGTGCTTCGAAAAACGCAGCATGGCGATGGCATGGCTTGGGGATGGAACTTTGCCTGGGGACGAAGTTGCGTCCCTGCTTCCATATGCCGTCAAGCAGTTCGTTTTGGTTGACAAATGAGGGGGTTCGCCAGACACCCACTTTGATTGTTGGTTTGGACGGTTGGGGAGGCTCGGCATCTTTTTTACGGGCTGACCAGGCTGACGGAGGTTAACGAACCCTAACTGACGGGATCAGGAAGGCGAGACCCGCCTTCCTGATCCCGTCGTTATCCCATGGTTTTTTGCTTTATTGGTGCTGGCGAACAGCCCCATTGTAAAACTCTCCCGACATCACCTTCCAACAAACACACTACATAGAATAAGCATCTAATAGTAAGTAGAACAGGTGGAAGTAGCCATGGCGGGGGCTCGAGACTGTTAGACCAGCAACGCAACCACGACCTTAGGCTAGGGTGAGTGATTAGCCATGTTCTCCACAGTGAAGGCCGCCGCTTCACTAACTATAACTGTCATGAATTGCGCCAGCTGTGCAAGCAATTCGCAAGCAGAACTAGCGCCCGCTAGGAAAGGCATTCTGCTTGCGTCACTTGCGCCAGCTATGCCGTAATTCCATTCTCGTCAAATGCGCCAACTTTGCCCACGTTTCGCAAGGGTGCCGCTCCGCACATGCTGGCATTCCGCGCGCACCAGCACAGCTAACGTCATTATTATGCGCCCCGCAGCACATCGAACGGGATTCATACTGCGCGCAGCAAAGCGGGGCGCGTTTGCATTGCGCGCGCCAGCGATGCGGCATCCAGAACCCCGCGCGCCCTACAAGCCAGCCTACTGCAGCCGCCAGTAACGCAAGCAGCCGCCAGCGCTAGAGCTTTCCGCCGCCCACATCCGCCCACAGCAGCATGGCCCCTTCCGAATTCGCCCTTCCGCATTCCCCACCCCGCATACCCCCTTCCGCGTTCCCCCTTCCGCATTCCCCCTTCCGCATCCCCCTTTCCACATCCCCCCTTCCGCATTCCCCCTTCCGCATTCCCCCTTCCGCATCCCCCCTTTCGCATACCCCCTTCCGCATCCCCCCTTCCGCATCCCCCCTTCTGCATTCCCCCTTCCGCATTCCCCCTTCCGCATTCCCCCTTCCGCATTCCCCCTTCCGCATCCCCCTTTCCGCATTCCCCCTTCCGCTTTCCCCCTTGCGCATTCCCCCTTCCTCATTTCCCCTTCCGCATTCCACCTTCCTCTTTCCCCCTTCCGCATTCCCCAATCTGCATTTCCCCTTCCGCATTCCACGGTCCTGATTCCCCCATCCGCATTCCCCCCTCCGAATCTCCCCTTGAGCATCCCCCCTTCCGCATTCCCCCTCGAACATTTCCCCTTCCCCATCCCCCTTCCGCATTCCCCCTTCCGCATTCCTCCTTCCTCATTCCCTCTTCCGCAATCCACCATCCGCATTCCCCCTTCCGCGTTCCCCCTTCCCCATTCCCCCTACCGCATTCCAGCCTAAAACTCACTCCCTCGTGCTTCTTGTCTGATAGCCCCATATTTCCCTCCAGCTAGCCCCATTTTCCCCCCCATGCCTCATGTTTCCCCTCATTCTATCCCCATTTTTCCCCCCTACTTCTGGCCCCATGTTTTCCTCCAAGCTATCCTCAGTTTTCCCCCAAGCTATCCCCAGTTTTCCCCCAAGCTATCCCCAGTTTTCCCCCAATCTATCCCCATGATTCCCCCAACCTATCCCCATGATTCCCTCAGCATGGCCCATGTTTCCCCCTTGCAGGCCCCATGTTTCCCCCCTGCAGGCCCCATGCTTCCCCCCTGCAGGCCCCATGTTTCCCCCCTGCATGCCCCATGTTTCCCCCATGCAGGCCCCATGTTTCTCCCCTGCATGCCCCATGTTTCCCCCCTGAATGCCCCATGTTTCCCCCGTGCAGGCCCCATGTTTCCCCCCTGAATGCCCCATGTTTCCCCCGTGCAGCCCCCATGTTTCCCCCCTGCATACCCCATGTTTCCCCCCTGAATGCCCCATGTTTCCCACCTGCGGGACCCCTGTTTCCCCCATGCCAGACCCATTTCGGCCCCGTGATAGCCCCCTAAACTCCCCCCGTGATAGCCCCGTGTTTCCCCCATGGTAGCCTCATGTTTCCAAGGCTGGGTGGTGAGAGCATCGCTGCTTGCATCAGCATGTGAAGTGCTTACACGCAAAGGAACCTCTCAGCCCGCACTATCTTACTCACCTTCGCTTGTCACATCCTTTATTCCCTACTTCCCGTACTGCTGGCCCCATGTTTTCCCCCAAGCTATCCCTAGTTTTCCCCCCAACCTATCCCCAGTTTTCCCCCAAGCTATCCCCAGCGTTCCCCCAAACTATCCCCATCCATCCCCCAAGCTAACCCCAGTTTTTCCCCAAGCTATCCCCAGTTTTCCCCCAAGCTATCCCCATGACTCCCCCAACCTATCCCCATGTTTCCCCCCTGCAGGCCCCATGTTTCCCCCCTGCAGGCCCCATTTTCCCCCCCTGCAGGCCCCATGTTTCCCCCCTGCAGGCCCCACGTTTCCCCCATGCAGGCCCCATGTTTCCCCCGTGCAGGCCCCATTTTTCCCCCCTGCAGGCCCATGTTTCCCCCCTGCAGGCCCCATGTTTCCCCCCTGCAGGCCCCATGTTTCCCTGCTGCAGGCCCCATGTTTCCCCCCTGCAGGCCCCACGTTTCCACCCTGCAGGGCCCCTGTTTCCCCCCTGCCAGACCCATTTCTCCCGCGTGACAGCCCCCCAAATTCCCCCGTGATAGCCCCATGTTTCCCCCATGCTAGCCTCATGTTTCCAAGGCTGGGTGGTGAGTGCATCGCTGCTTGCAGCGGCATGTGAAGTGCTCACAAGCAAAGGAACCTCTCAGCCCCATAGTCTTACTCACCTTCGCTTGTCACATCCTCTTCTCCCTCCCGGCCCTCCCCTTCCAAGGCTGGGTGGAGAGTGCATTGCTGCTCGCAGCGGCATGTGAAGTGCTCACATGCAAAGGAACCTCTCAGCCCCATGCGTTCCTCTCACATACAGGATGTTTAGAAAGAGGGTGGTCAGTGCATCACTGCTCCCAGCAGCGTGTGGAGCGCTCAGCAACAAAGGAACCAAGCTGCCCTCACACTACTACTCGCCTTCCCTTGTCACATCCTCTTCTCCCTCCCTTCCCTCAGCCTTCCCAGGCTGGGTGCTCTGTGCATGAAAGCTCCCAGCAGTGTGTGGAGCGCTCAGCAACAAAGGAACCTCACTGCCCTCACACTCTTACTCGCCTTCCCCTGTCACATCCTCGCTTCCCTCCATCCCCTGCGCCTTCCCAGGATGGGTTGTGAGTGCATGAAAGCTCCCAGCACCGTGAGGTGCGCTCAGCAACAAAGGAACCTCACTGCCCTCACACTCTTACTCGCCTTCCCCTGTCACATCCTCGCTTCCCTCCATCCCCTCAGCCTTCCCAGGGGGGGTTGTGAGTGCATGAAAGCTCCCAGCACCGTGAGGTGCGCTCAGCAACAAAGGAACCTCCATGCCCTCACAAGAGGGTTGTTATGTCCCATGGTAGCCCCATATTTCCCCCCTGCTAGCCCCATGTTACCCCCATGCTAGTCCCATGTTTCCCCCCAGCTAGCCCCATGTTTAACCCCTGCTATCCCCACATTTTGCCCCTATTTGCCCCGCGTTTAGGTGCAGAATAGCTTGCACACATACCCCTAAGGCACAACTCCCTCACACAAGGCGCCACTTCCGCCAAGGCAAAGAGGACAAAACCAACGATTCTCCACGAGGTGAGACATTGGTATGCATCCCTACCCTGCCTTGTCATTTCACCCCTGCCCTTCCCCTTCTGCCCTGGCACTCCCCAACCACCATTCACTACCTGCTGCGCTCCTCCTTCAGTCCAACTCCATACCTGCCCTGCCTTTCCCCCCATTGCCTTAGCATCCCTCCCTACCCTGCCCCCACTTCCCCCTTATTAGGCCATAAGGTACCCCCCTGCTAGCCCTCCCTTCCCTCTCATTGTCATGAGTTTCCACCCTACTAGCCCTCCCTTCCCCATCATCATGCCATCAGTATACCCCTTGCTAGGCCTCCGTCCCCCCTCATCATGCAAACAGTTCCCCCCTGCAAGCCCACCCTTTCCCGTCATCATGCCATCACTAGCCAACCCTCTCCCATACGGTGGGCTCGCCCTGTCCCATGGGCGGGCCCACTACAATCAAAGGGGCTGGCCAGCCCTTTCCCATGCGGTGGGCTTGCCCCATTTGATACTTGAAATGCATTGGTTGCTAATAATCAATTTGGGTGCATGGTGTGCAGAATGGGTCGTCCGAGAAAGATCTCCTCCGCAACATGGAGATCAAGGGTAAAAGACATTGTGAAGGGCAAGGATCAGGCAAGCCTTGCGATATCAAAGACGATGCAAATTCCAATTTGCTACTTGCGGTCTGGTCTGACCTCGCTGATGGGTGAGAGTCGAACCGCGACAGTGTCCGACTTGGTGTACTTCCTTTTGCACGCTGGGTCAGGAGGAAAAGATGCCCTCATGATGGCGGCAAGAAAAGCTGGTGAGTGGAATATTTCAATGCCCGTGGTGTTTTGGAGTTGGTGTGTATGAACCTCAGCTCCTGTTCTGTTCTGTTGGGAACGAATGTTGCCGACACTCTGACGTTGAAACCACGAATGGTCAGGTGCGGACGGTGAAGAGGCACAAGGGAGAGTGGAAGAGTATTTGGCGAAGTATTCTGAAAAAATTCAAGGAGGACGGGATCGTGCAACTGGTCGGCCCGAAGCGTTGATGGAAGGGCAACCCATCGCAATAGGAGGTCTGGTTTACGCGTTCCCTGCACTTCAAGGGAAACGTCCTGCACGCACAGGGGGCGGGGCGATGGTTGATGGAGGGACGGGTGCGGACCATGATCCGCCAGATGCAAATCAGCCACAGAATGGTATGTGTGCGCCATCTAGTATATAGCACACTTTGAGGTGCGCATGTGGGTGTGCCTTCAATCACGCACCCCTATCGATAATGTCAATTTCCTACCCAGGAGATGACCCGAATGGCGTCTCACCATCACCGAATGGTGGCGACGTCGTTGGTGAGGGGTGCATGGAGCAGCGGGAGGTGGTGATTGACATAGATCCGCACGTCCCTCCTCAAGGAGGCGATGTCTCTGTGACCGTGGGTTCTGAATGTGGAGGCCCGAGTGGATTGCCGGCAGGAGTCACGCATGTGGATACGACAAACAATGCCGATCCACACACCCATGCAGGGTAAGAATTTGTACGGCCTTGTAGGCTCACCTTATTGCACTCCAGGTCACCAACTATCGAACCTTCTTTATCGATGTTGCGCGAGCATCTAACAGTAGAAGTGGGCTATTTGATGTCCACAATTACACGCTCATCTATTTTGCCATCGATCGGGTCATTCATGTTCGTATTCCACTGTTTTTTGCATGGCAACAATCCATCGATGCAGGAGCACACACGGTCATGACAGTTACTCCGAGCCCAGAGTCGGACGCTGTCCTGCTCAACCAACCCTCACAGGGCTTCGCGATGTCGTATGCTTGCTTAACCCAATCCACCTCATTCGGTTTTTCATGGTTATGACTCTTCATTGCACTGCGAGTGGAGGTTGCGGTGGATCCATGAAGCTACGCTCTTGGAAGCTGGTGTGGGCTGTTCTCGGACTGGTGTGGACCTGCGATAGGTGTGGAAAGTCCGTTTCGGTCTGGTCTGTCGATCGCAAGCCACCACCGAGCGCTGCAGACAAGCCTGGCCGGAAAAGTTTGCCGATGCTGCAACGGTTCCTCGCGTCTTTTGCACTTGCCGGTTTCGGTTACCAGGCTCTGTCGGAGGTAGGCAGGAACTTGGGTGTGCCAATCCCGTCTAAGAGTACGTTTTATAAGTACATTAGTGGGGCGGGTGGTCTGTGGGAAAAGATCATTGCGCATGCTACAAAGTGTATGGAAATGGTGCGTGAGTGCATGCTGGCTCGTAAGGAGAGCGGTTATTGGATTTGCGTGGATGGTAGGTGGGGTCAGGTACGAGAGGCTGAGTGGTGCAGCGTCACATTTATGGATCCATTCACGCGCAGAATTATACACTGTGTGACACTACCCAAGACCGAAGAAGGTGTGACGTTGACGCAACTAGAAAAACGGGCTTTTGAAAGGGGGATGGAAGACTTCAGAAAGTGGGGGTTTCCTGTGAAAGGTATCATTACTGACGAGGGGACGAGTTTCAAGGTTGGTATTCTTGGTACAGACATTGAGCATCAGATGGATGTATGGCACAAAGGTCGTTCGTTGTCACGAAAGTTCGTCAAGTTTTTCGTGGATGCCCGAAAGGATACGGTCAGTGCCATTGAGGCAAAGACCATTGAAGATTGGTGGAATGTCAAGCCGGATGATATGCGTTCATGGTTGAAAGTTCATGGAGGTTCAGGTCTCAAAGGTATAAACAAAAAAACGCCCAGAATAAAACGCATAAAAGAAGTGTGTCGTGTGCGTGGTATCCAGTTCGTGGATTTGTCCAAGGATGATTCGCCGTGGAAGTACCCTGAGATGCGACGAGTTGCACGTATACGTCGCAGACACGGCAAAGGCATGGCGGCCATATCATCAGCCTCCCGCGCGACTTGTCCCGACGGGTCGTGCACAGAGGGCGGGGAGAGGGTGGAGAGAGTTGACGTTCCGATCACTCAGTCAACCGAAGAGAGTCGAGACAAGTATGATGCGACGACAGAGAGCTTTCTCACGCGCGAGAGCTGTTCCGACTTTGTTGCTATTGACATTCTGGAGGAGGGAGCCACAGTGACTGCAGTCGATCCCGGCCGAATATATCTGCATTATTCGGATGTTAGAGATGTTAGGGTGGTTCGCCACTGCCCTAGTGTCTACCGGCCTGCGCGCCTGACCTAGGGACGGTAGAAGAACTCTAGGAACGGTGGGAACTACGACCTAATATGGGGAACCGGTACCTAGAATGGTGGGGCTGCATGCTAAGTAGTTACGAGAGGAAAACGTGAGGAAAGTAAGGGAAAACGGAATGACTGAGAAATAGGGTTCGGAAAATGTCGAGAAGACATTTCCGAAGCCTAGAATGTCCAACCGAAACCGAACCGTGTTAGGTGCGGAAGGGACAAACGGGTTTCGGTTCCGGTGACGGTTACCGAATTCGGTTACGCGTGCGACTCGGGCTGAAACGCGGATGACGCGTTACGCGAGGCGCACATCACATTTCGAAATGCTTAAATGTGTTTGTTTTCAATCAGTTGTTTGTACTTCTCTGTTTTCAGTGAAAATTGCACCAGAAAACCAGAATTTTCTCCAAGTGACTACTAATCTCCAACGCTAGCCGGAGGCTATACCTAAACTTAGAAGAGAGCCGTGGGGATATGATCCACATCCCGAGCATGGAGTGCGGCCTTGCTCGGTAGCACCTTTCTTCATCATGCAGGCCTCTGCGGCGCGCCACGCCGACGCGACTCGTGGCATGCTGGCCGCCGAACCGAGGCATAGATCCAGTGCTGGCGAGACAGGTGAGATGTTTCACGTTGCCGATGGTGTCCGCAATGCCATTCCATCCAAGTTGTGATACATATGATCCATCAGCACATTTGTACGTGAGACTCCAGAGAACGATATCATGGACAAAACTCCCTTGTATTGTTATGCCCTCCCACCAGGTACAAATGGGGCAAGTGCAGCTGTTGGATTAGACGGGGATAGAGGGACCGCGGAGCACGCTCGACGCTGGGTGGATAGGCGCTCCCGTAGCGGGAAGAGGAGTGGGGCGGGTGCTGCAGTGCAAGAGGAGGTTATGGAAGATCCAGATGAGCTAATCGAGGTGACAGTGGTGCAAAGGTTTAGTGTACACTTTCATCATGTGATGGCACGATGCGCGTTACGCTGAAAACAGGGAGTGCCAATGACTGCTAAGGATGTAGCCAGGGAGATTGGGAGTGCAGCTGACCATTGGGCTGGGGACCATTCGCGCTATGGTGGGGGCACAGAGACCCCTAGATGCGTGGTTGATAACTGGGGACCAGAGAGTGTACTGTACCAACATGGTTCGCGTACACATATCGCATTCAAGGAGTGGCTAGAGGAAAACTGTGGGGAGGTCAAGATGAGACCATATGTTCATGGGTCTTGCAATTGGATGAATGAATCATTTCATTCACTGATATGCAAGTATGCTCCAAAACGCACTCTGTTTCGTGGAAGCATGAGGGCACGGGTTGGTCTTACAGTGTTGCATTGGAGCCATTCATTGGATAAGGAGGTTCGTGCAACCAAGATCAGGATGAGTCGAGTTACCAGGGTGTGGCGTGGTAAGAGCTCGTGGATCTTAGGGCCTATGAACTGGAGTTGGGTCGACGACATTATGCGAGAGTGGAATTGCATGACGCCTGCTGCTTCAGCGGTCCCCGGGCCTGACACCGCTACCCCCACTGCACCAGCAACACCCGAGCCCCCTCCGAAGCGGAGGCGTACCAATGAGGGACAACCCTCCATAGCACCGCGATCCTTGCTTGGTAAGTTTATGGGGGTGCATTTCGTCAATGTTGGACGACCCGCAACACTTACTAATATTACACATGAACATGTATATTCACTGATTGCAGGACCCTTGACAAATGTGCGATGACTTCAAGACGAACGAATCATTTGAGGGCTGCCATCCGTGTGTGAGTTTGTTATCTCAAAGTGTCTTTATGCTTACAACCTACATTCTAATCCATTTTAGGTTATTATATTCACCTCCATCCATCCATCCATACATGCATGCTTGCATGCATGCATATGTCTGCAGAAGTGTGTGAGCCTGGCCACGTGCCTGCCAGCATCGTGCAGGCGGGCATTCACAGAGAGGGAGGTGGCAGGGGCGTTTTTGGACTGTGCGGGCATGTCCGTTGTGGCGCCCTCCACCATCCCCCGGTATGCCGCCACCCTATCCTTTGTAAGCCACCCATCTCGGGCCTTGTGGCCTTGAGAAACAACCTGGGAGGACCTTTTGGAAGCTATATGTTCTGTTCTGTTGTGTGGCAGCAGTGTTTTTGTTTTTTTGTGCTACCCAACAGTCAGCTGGCGTGCAGGACACCAGCGAAGACCCCCTGCCGTGCGTGGTCAGTGAGTTAGGCGGGTGGTCAGTGAGGGGAGTTGTGGTGAGTGAGTAGGGTGTGTGTTCAGTCAGTGGAGAGGGTCATTAATAGTAGCATCGTGACACATTTCGCAAGAGAAGCTTGCTTCCACACTTGGCTGTCCCATACACAGCCCCACCCTGCTTCTCCATCCTCACACCTATTCTTCCCCCCACCTCTCTCTACTCTCCCCACTCGCCCCCCTCTCCTCCGCCCCCCACCATGGATGGACGGCGAGCCACATGGCGTGTTCGCATATAGCAAGGTGTTTGATCAGCCGGGCACCATCTACTACGAGGATGGCGCTCTACCAGGAGACTCCACCTCGCCTTCCTCCTCCTCTTCATCCTCTTCCACCTCCTCTGCTAGTGTTCTCATTGTGCTGGCTGCAAGCGCAAGATCTGAGTACGCTGGTGAGAGACCGAAAGACCATGCCATGCCATCCCATGCTGTCTGCCGTGGTGCTTGCTAGCCATTCTTGTCTTCCTCTGATCTCCTTTCTGTCCATCGCCCTCATTGCATTCCCTTGTCACCCCTTGCATCCATCCTCTGCGCATCCCTTCTCCCCCCATCCATCCTCTATGCATCCCTTCTCCCCCCATCCATCCTCTATGCATCCCTTCTCACCCCATCCCTCCTCTATGCATCCCTTCTCACCCCATCCCTCCTCTATGCATCCCTTCTCACCCCATCCCTCCTCTATGCATCCCTTCTCACCCCATCCCTCCTCTATGCATCCCTTCTCACCCCATCCCTCCTCTATGCATCCCTTCTCACCCCATCCCTCCTCTATGCATCCCTTCTCACCCCATCCCTCCTCTACGCATCCCTTCTGACCCCGCCCTCCTTACCACCATCCACTCAGGTTCAGCAGCCTTGTGGACGGACGGCAACTGGCATATTTGCTCTGCAGCAACGAATGTGGTACTGCAGCCCCAAAAGCTTAGGCGTCCAGGAAAGGCGACCTGCTGCGTGTACCCTTTCCTCGCTCGCCTATCCTCCCCACCGCCTGCCAGCACCGTCACATTTCCCGCATTGACTGCAAATAGAAGTTGGCTGCACACTTCTCTGATGGGGAGTCACGAAGTTAGTGCCGTATGCATGGATTGCTCTGTGCGTTTACTTGTAACCAAACTGCTTTGCTTACATACTGTGTTTTGGAACAGTTCATGCTATACACTCATGATGTTTGCAACTTGTAATGATGTCACAGAACACCGGGGTGAATAACCAGTTGGTGCAAAACACAGAAAGAAGTATTTGATGGCACGACTTGTTGGGTCAGTAACAGACACCTATAAGGGGATGTGAGTGGGTGTCTATGGTATGTGCTAATGTTCAAGGTGGCAGATTGGATGATTGGATCAACCACGGACAGGCCGAGTGACCAAGAGGCTAGCTGCTTCACACGTGGCCGTGGCCACGCTCCCCTGCCATTCACTCCCCCATCGCTGCCTATCCATGCCCAGATGGCTGGCACGTAGGTTGCTTGTGAGGCGCAAATAGTAGGATGTACAGTCAGGAAGGCACCCCACCTGCAAGTGAAGCACGGTATGAGAGAGTATCGCCATGAAAACACGGGTGGGCTGTATCGGAAGTTGCGCAGGAATGTAGAAGTCAATTTTAACTCCGAAACCCTAAAACAAAAAGAGAGTGTGGGAAGCCAAACATGGGAGAATATGAGTGTGAGAGACCTGGAGGGGCAGGGTATGAGCAAAGTGCCCTTGGTAGGGGGTGGGAAAAGAAGTGGTATGGGAGGGGAGGTCAGAAGAGTGCCCCTGGAAGGGGGAGGGGAGGTGAGATGGTATGGGCAGGAGAGGTGGTATGGGGAGGGGAGGTGAGATGGGAGTAGGGGGTAGGGGAGGGGAGGTGACGACAAGGGTATCGAGGGATGGCAGTGAGGATTGCAAGAGTGAGAACGGCGTATGTTTTTTGAGAATTCTCAAAAAACAGGAGGAGTGCGTAAGGAAGGATGGGGAGTCGAGAGGGAAGCGAGGGAAGGGAGGGAAGAGAGGGAAACGAGGGAAGGGAGGGAAGAGGGGGAAACGAGGGAAGGGAGGGAAGAGGGGGAAACGAGGAAAGGGAGGGACGAGAGGGTAACGAGGGAAGGGAGGGAAGACAGAGAAACGAGGGAAGGGAGATCGGGAGGTGGGAATGGGAGAAGTGGAGGCAAGAATGGGAGAAAGGGAGGCACGACGGGGAGAACGGGATGCGGAAAGGGGAGAACGGGATGCGGAAAGGGGAGAACGGGATGCGGAAAGGGGAGAACGGGATGCGGAAAGGGGAGAACGGGATGCGGAAAGGGGAGATTGGGAGGCAAATAAGTGCCTGCATGTTGTGGCGCGGTGAGCGTGATCAAGGTGGCGTGAGGAGGCAACGCAAGGAGGCGAGGTGACGCTGCCGCGTGCGGATTTGCGGCGAGGCGACGCCGTGACGGGCGTTGAGGCGAAGCTACGACGCGATGTCCGGCGAGGCAGCGGGTTGGGACTCGAGGGAGGCGATTTGCGGCAAGCGGAACATGCAAAAGAAGGTTTTTTCTAGGCTGCGTGGGGAGGCAAGGAGACCACTACGGAAAGCGCGGCGAAGCGGCGAGGAGAGGCGAAGTGAGGGGCAGCAGAGGAAGGCGTGACAAGATTCCACATTGCGCGTGTACTCGTCGGTTCGCGCGCGTGATCGCAACCCTACGCGTGGCCAGGACGGCTGCCACACTAAACGTACGATTGACGCGACGGCGACGCCCGCGACGACTAAACGACTAGATGTGTATTCGTCGACTCTGCCTTAGGCGAGCCTAAGGGATCTGCTACGGTCGCGTAGCACTTCAATGCTATAGGTATGTTTTTTTTCAGTTGTGCAGGCTCTGAACGCTGCGAGAGTGCGCTGGTGCGGGGGGGGTTGAATTAGTATACTTTTGGCATCTATAAGGGCGTGTAAAATCGCCGCACCTAAAAATTCGGCCACTTGCCAAGTGGCCAAATTGGCGACAGTAACCCGTTTGAGAAAATTTCGCAGACGCTCGCGACGGTCGTTCATTTCGTCAATAAAAAACGAAATTGATGGCCGTTTTGGAAGTCGACTCGTATCCGACACCATGTCGACTCCAATTCGGCCAAGTAGTCGACACCGTGAGCGACTGTCACGTACGACGTCGCACGGTCTCGCAGAACGACTGAATTTTTTATATTTTGTCCAATCAGAGTTTTCGTCGTCAAATGTGCGACCCCGTCGCACATACGTTCCAACTGTAGCAACTGCAAATTTTACATCTTTTTTAAACCGGCCTGAAATTCAGCCCTCAAACCTGTAAAGTTTGCAAATATGCAAATAGTGGCTGTAAATGTGACGACACGAAGTCGACCAATCCGTCGACTTTCGCGAAAGAAATGTCGACCAGATGGTCGACGTAAAACCGGCCAAAAGCAGATTTCGCAAATTTGCGGGGATTTTACATACCCTAAAGTTTTGACACTCGACTGGGCTCACTTGGTGGGGAGGGAACCCCTCCTTTCTCGAGAGAGAAGTTGGGTGGCACGTAATTCGGTAACCATCGTGTACCTTTTATAAACTTTGGGCACTGGCCCTGCCAAATGTATACTGCTGCTGGACATGGAAAAGGCGGAGGCGCTGGACATGGAAGACGGGGTGAATCTTCATATAGCTGGGTAGTTGGAGCCGGTAGTTGACTGGTGAGAGGACTCAGGTGATGGTGAACGGGCCAATGAAGCGGGGGGCGAGTTTTCTGGTTGTGCCTTTGCGTAGGAGAGGTAGGTGGTCAGTGGAGAGAAGCACTTGATCACCAACCTTGAAGCGGATATCTTTACGGTGGGAGTTGGCATAGTGGGTCTGTTTGGCTTGTGCTTTGAGGATGGAGGTGCGAGCGGCATCAATGGTTGATTCAAGTGACGTGAGGAACTCAAAGGCTGCTGGTGTGTGAGAGGTGGGAGGGTGGGGTTGTGGGGAGGCGTGGGTGCTGTCCGGTTGCGAGGTAGAAGGAAGGCTGACCGGTGGAAAGGTGGGGTGTGCTGTTGTATGCGAGTTCGATGGCTGTGAGATGGAGATCCCAATCAGTTTGGCGAGCTGTAACTTGTGCACGGAGGGCGTCTTCAAGCGTGCGGTTCATCCGTTCGGTTTGCCCATCCATTTCAGGGTGATAAGCAGTAGAAAACTTCAGCCGGGTTCCGTGAAGCTTGAAAAGGCTTTGCCAAAAGTTACTCAAGAAGCGGGGGTCACGGTCTGAAATGATGGCGGATGGGAGACCGTGTAGGCGGACTATGTGATCGAAGAAGATTCGGGCTGTTTCGGGTGCGGTGATGGATGTGTGGGTGGGGATGAAGTGAGTCATTTTGGAGAGTTGGTCGACGACGACTAGGATGGCGTTGTAGCTGCGGGGTGTTCGGGGCAGATCCATGATGAAGTCCATGGTGACTTCATCCCACACTTTGGTAGGTGGAGGGATGGGCTGCAAGAGTCCGTAGCGGTTGGTGGTGCGTGCTTTGAGTTGTTGGCAGGTTCGGCAGCTGCGTATGAAGTTACGAACATCAGCATGCATGCATGGCCAATGGTAGTCGTTGGAGATGCGTGCATAGGTCTTCTCAACACCAAAGTGGCTGCCGGTAAGGGTGTCATGGTATTCGGAGAGCAGCAGTTGCCGTAACGAGCGATCCGCAGGGACACAAATTATATTGGTGATGGTCTTGTACCAAAATGGGTCTTCAAATGAGTATGCCGGGTCGTCGGGTGCTTGCTTAACGAAAAACATGTCATGTTTGTAGGCGCGCTGAAACTTTGTGATGAAGGCATCATCCCAGGTGATGCTGCTGGTTCCATGGAGTTGCAAGGGTGGGGTCGGAGTTTGAGGTGGAGGTGATGAAGTGGGGCTGGTTGGGGAGTGTTGGGGTTGGTCGGTGGGGGGTGGGGCTGGTGGTGGAGGTCTTGGCAAGACGTTGGCTGGATTGAGCTTTCCGAGGCGGTAGATAATTTGAAGTGATGGGACAAACTGCTCCAAAAACTCAGCCCATCGAGCTTGGCGGCGGCTGAGCACAGGCTGTGCTTTCAAGTGTTGAAGAGGGCGATGGTCGGTGTAGACGGTGACGGGCTGCAGCTCTACGTAACAGCGCCATGTCTTGATTGCGTCCACAATGGCAAGGAGCTCCCGGTCATCTGTTGCGTAGTTGCGCTCTGCAGGTTGAAGCTTGCGTGACTCAAATGCAAGTGGCTGCATCCCATGGCCGTGGTCTTGGCAAAGAATAGCACCAATAGCGACATCGGAAGCATCGGTCCATATGAAGTATAGGCGCGATGGGTCAGCGACGGTGAGGACCGGTGCAGAGGCAAGTGCTGATTTGATTGCGGTGAAAGCGGTCTGCTGCGGTAGTCCCCACTGAAAAACAGCTCCTTGACGGAAGAGATCAGTCAAAGGGGCGCAGATGTGAGAGAAGTTGAAGATGAATTTTCGCTAATACTTGGCGAGGCCGATGAAACTTTGCAGCTCCGCTACCGTGCATGGTGCTGGCCAATCGGCAAGGCACTGGACCTTTGCAGGGTCCATAGCAATGCCTTTAGAGCCGATGACATGGCCGAGAAAGCCAATGCTTAAACGGGCGAAGGTGCACTTGGAGAGCTTGGCGTAGAGGCGGTATTGGCGAAGCGTGTCGAGGACGATGCGTAGGTGCTGAGCGTGTTCTTCGAGTGACTTGTTGAAAATGAGGAAGTCATCGAGGAACACGATGACAAAGCAGTCAAGGAAGGGCCGAAAAATGTCATTCATAAGTCCCATGAACGTGGCTGGTGCGTTGGTGAGACCGAAGGGAAGAACTCGAAACTCGAAGTGGCCGTAGCGGGTTCGAAATGCCGTCTTGATGATGTAGGCGATGGGATGCAAACCACGTCCGTGATCCTGCATCAGTACTGCTCCGACTGCCTAGTCACTAACGTGTGCTTCCACCATGTAGCCCTTGTCAAGGTCAAGTAGGATGAGTATTGGCGCTGTAGTCAGTGCTGTCTGTAGCTGCTCCATGGCTTGTTCTTGAGGAGTATCCCATTTGTAAAGCGTATCCTTTTTCAGTAGGTTGGTCAGTGGTGCTGCTATCTTAGCATACTGCGGCACGAACCTGTTGTAGCAGTTGGCGAAGCCTAGGAACTGCTGCAACTCCTTTACATTCTCTGAAACTGTCACTTCTTGACGGATTTGATCTTCCGCGGGTCCACGTGTACGCCCTCGGCACTCACCATGTGCCCGAGAAACTGCACCTTTTTCAGGGCGAAGTCGCTCTTCAACAGCTTCACGTAGAATGTTTTATTCCGCAGGATCTCGAAGACTTTCCGCAGATGCTCTACGTGCTCCTTCATGTTCTTGGAGTAGATGAGAATGTCGTCCAGATGCACAACTATGCACTCGTTTAGCAGGGGCCTTAGGATGTGATTCATCTCCGCCTGAAACATTGCTGGTGCATTGCAGAGTCCGTACGACATCACCAAGTATAAGTAGGAGCCGCATCTGGTACAGAACGCCGTCTTGTGAATCGAGTTGTCTGCCATCTTGATTTGCCAGTAACCCGACCGTAGGTCCGGCTTCGAAAAGACTGTTGCACCATGCAGTTGGTCTAGTAGGTCGTCTATGCACGGTATGGGATATTTGTTTTTAACTGTCTGTTTGTTTAGTGCGCGGTAGTCGATGCACATCCATAAACTGCTGTCAGGTTTTGGAGTGAAGAGAACTGGTGCACCGTAGGGAGAGGTGGATGGGCGGATCAGTTGTCTATCCAGTAGATACTCTATCTGCTTCTTCATGTTCGTCAGTTCGGTCGGACTCAGTCGGTATGGTGCACGTGAGACGGGTTTCGCACCTAGTTCCTCCATGATCTCATGCTCGTGGGTGTGTGCTGGAGGTACTCCTGTGGGTACCAACCAGCAGAAAGTATCGCTCGCTGCCCTGTCCCTAGACGCGGGCTGGGCCCCACACGTTCAGGTGGAGAGTCTGCATGGGAGCAGTCATCGGGGGAAACGAGGAGGAGTGAGGAGCGGCGCGCTCCCGCCCCTTGACACAAGGAAGGCAGGGAGGGGCAGGCAAGGGTAGGAGGGGAGGCAGAGACCTGGGAAGACCAGAGACAAGAAAGCGAGAGTGCATGCCACGGAGGCGTGGCAGAGAGGGGTGACCAAGGCGATGGTGCCAAAGGAGAGTCTGGTGCGACAGGGCGCGACACGAACAGCAGGCTGCTAGCTGACCTGACGCGGACGCAGACACAGCTACCTGAGGAGGCGATGTAGTCATTGTGTACAGGCTCGACCCAGGCTGACGGGTGAACGTGGCCAGGTGGCGGCCCATCCGTGCACAC